TTGGCTGAGTATTTGTTAGGCGGAAAGGGCGGGTGTTGGCCGGATCGGCGAGTGGATGGCGCGAACTGAGGTGATGGCGCGGGGGGGTGTGACATCTTGCTGGTGGCCGGGCTGGGAGACAGATCAAGTGCCAAGGGCGAGCCTGAACAGGTCGGGAGGTTGCAGCAAGACGCTGGGAAAACAAGATAGGGGAGGCACACGGAGGGTAGGTAGACGGGTAGGTAGCAGGCAGTAGGCAGTGATGTATTGGGATAGGTATTGGCATGTAAGTGGAGGTGGATACAACTTACCGTCTGCCGAATGTTTTACCACAACGGTCCCAGGTACATTGGAAGGGCTTCTCCTTGGTATGGGTTCTCTCGTGTCTTTGCACATGCTCAACCCGCCTATATTGCTTGTGAGTAGTGTAGGCAAGCCGCCGGGATGCATCGGGGCACGAACCTAAAGCGTTTGTTGCAGTATTTGCAAGGGAGAGTCTTGGGTTTCTGCTGGCGAGGCTCGCCAGCGTCGGGGGCAGAGAGGGGAGCCGACTGTGCTCCCTGAGGTCGAGGAGCCCCCCCATTCAGAGACTGTAGAGGCAGCATAGTACAGAGCGCGCCGGGTCAGTCTGGGTCTGGGTCAGCGCACTCGATCTACCGTCGTTGGGCTGGCTCCAGTGACAACTCGCTGATGCCGCCAACTTCAACATACAGCGTGCGCAACGGGGGATCTTCGAGGGCCGGCGGAAGTGAAGCGTCTGGGTGAGCGGGAGAGAGACGGGGAAGGAGGTGAAGATGGAGTCCATGTGCTCCTGGGCAGGAGCAGCGAACTATGGGGGCTGTGGGGGAACTGTGGAGGGAAGCGACTCTCCACGCGACAAGCCGATGTTACAAGACGGGGACGACCCCATTAACCAGGGGCGAAAGTCAATATAGTTTAGAGCAGACGAGTAGGCAGGCAGTTGAAGAAGGTCGAGGCGTGAGAACAGACGAAAGGAAAGGAAAGTGACTGTTCCGCAAATGTGGAGAAGGGCTAAGAGGGTTGGGCTGGGCGGAGAAATTGGACAACTGGGGAAGCTGTATGGTGGAGGGGACAGGCCGAGCGCAGAAAGCGGACAAGGAGTCAGTGGAGGGTGGGCGCGAGCAAATGGATGGGGGGAGAAGCTGTGCTGAGCTGCGCAGTGGGAATACAGCAGCGAGCGAGAACGGAAGCTTCAGACGCGGCTGGACAGAATCGCAGGTCGCGTGCGTGCGTTCCAATCAATGGAGAAGAGGCATGATGATGACAGCAGCAAGTCGGGGGAGGGACAACGCAACACAACCTTGGGCGATGTGGTGGCTGCACCCCGTACTCACAGCGGTCGGAGGAAGCAGCAAGGATGGCTGCAGGTCGGGTACCTGCTACATTCTGGACAGTAGCACTACTGGTACGGTACATTACTTACCGACGACATGCCACGGCTTACTACGGGTTTAGTTACCATCCTAATTCTAGCCCGGCCTTTTCGCCGATGGCCCAGGCGCGCGGAGCAGAGCGGGGAAGGATATACCCGGGCGAGCAGCAGCGGAGAGAGCACAGAGAGAGAGAGAGTGGAAGGGCGAGGTGGGAGTGAAAAAAGGGAGGGAGAGGGTAAGGGGGGCAACAGCAGGGCAGAGGCTCAGCCTTTCACAGGTCTCGGCATCGTTGCAGGATCTCGGCGGTCGCCCACATGTCACATTGGGAGCATCTGACCGCTGCCAATTGCACGGAACTGCGTCGGATGGTGCGTTGCACACAAGCAAGCAGACCAGCGTCTTCTTCTCCAGCTGGGAAGTAGCAAGGACGGAGAGAGGTGGGGAAGGGGCGACAGGCGGGATGGGAGGGTCGAAGGTGTGCGTGCTCTTCCCACTGCCCGAGTTTGGGAGAACAAGGAAGCTGCATCCGCAAGATGGGATTTCAAAGCGGATCGAGACGAGATTAGCTCAGTGCTAGCGCTGTTGGAGAGCTCGACGGCCACCCTCCTGCCCTGGAACGCCCTGGGACCGGGCTGCCGCACAGGAAAATGGCCGGAAACCCCAAGTCCAGTTTCCGGGGCCATCTCCACCGCCCTCCTGTCACTGTCACTGTAGCTGTACATGTACATGCAATTTGCTCTCCAGCTTTTCCATCGCTCGATTGCCGGACCACTGGACAGCACGTTTCGGCCAAGATGCATGTGGGGATTTGGCCTGCCCTGCCAATGCCCCCATGGGGCAAGTATTCGTGGTCCACACTTACCTCACCAATCTGGGGTTCAACTCCGCATTGGACCGTGGCCGCTATCGCCCTCCTCTTTGCTCTGCTTTCTTTGTCTTTGCTTCTTTCCGGCCACCATGGTCAAGACCACCACCCTCTACCCCCACCACCAAGCGCTGGCCCCCGACGCGGCCAAGTACACCTCGTCTTTCTCGGTGCCTCATCTGCGAAGCCCAACACGACCAATTGGGACTCCCAGCGTGAGATGCCCGCGTAGCTCCAGGTGGGGGTTCAGTCAAGGGGGGCCATCCCATCCGAGTGTGCTCAGTCTCCCTTCCTCCTAGGGACTGCCCTCGGGGGATAGCCGGCCAATGGATCCAGCACCCTATCGTGCTGTGTCAATTTATCCGCCTTCCAGTGATAGTGACTCAAGCAATCCGCTCCTCAAAGATTGCGCCAAGGCTCAACGCCAATGTCTGACGTGGACCCTGTCTGCCCTCCTCCCACACCGTTTGGTGCAGCAACTTGCCGCCGCATCCACATGCTCTGGCGTCTCCGCGGCCCAGAAAATACCTGGATGTGTATCTTTTCATGCATGACGATAAGTGCTACGTTGATCAGAGGGGCCGCGATACACGAAACTTTGGAGTTTCTGTTTCTGTTTGTTTTTTTGTTGTTGTTCTTCCGGTGCCCCCTTCCTCCTCCCATGTTCTCAGTCACCTCCCTGCAACGCTCCCCGCCCTCCTCGGTACAATTTGCTCTTCATTCCAAGCCTGGGAGATCTGTCTCTCCTCTGGATCTTAACAGCTACCTGTCGGGTACTTCCCGTCCTTCGCGCCTAGTACAAAGGTCGGATTTCCTCGGAGTAGCTACCTACCACACCAGTGATTGCCAGGCAAGTTTATCCGACGGCGCGTGACATCTGATTTGCTCGTCTAGTTGTTCCTGTGCCCGCCCTTCAGTGGACGGACCGGACGGCTGGGCAGCCCTTGGACTCCTTCCCCCCGTAGCGACCCATGCACCAAGATCGTTCAGCTCAGCTTATGTGTCACAGAACAGTGCATTGTCACCCTTGAGAGCGACCAGGTACATCAGATCCTCGTGCATTGAGTGGCCATACTGGACAGGAGACCAGGGACGGGCAGAGCGGCACCAGCGGATGCCTCCTTGACCCACGTCGTACACTGGTTGTCGTCCACGCTCACAAGGAACAGTCAACGTAGCGAGTCATCCAAGCAAAACAAGAGGGAAATAGTACTTGGCAGAAAAAAAAAAGCAAGCAACCCCAACCTGCTCCAACCCCCGCATTAGGGCACACCCAGCTAATTGCATGCTGGAATGAGATTGCCCCGCTCTGGTGTTCCCACCGGCCTCAAGGATCCTTGGCTGCCCAACAAATCCCCTCCCTTCTCCCTTCGAGTCGGCGAGAACGTGCACTCGCCGACGCTGGGCCAATGGCCTAACCACATAATGTGCTGACCCAGCCCGCATTATTCCCACAACTCCTTGTTGTCGCGTATCTCAACTCCCCCCCTGCCGTGCAGAAAGGCCCCCTCAGCATCCCAAAGCGGCAAGTCCAGGAGCCCCGTTCTCAAATGATGGAGTTTGGGAGTTCTGCTTCTGACATCGGAATAGGGTTCGGGCTAGGAGGGTGGGCGAGAACGGGCATGTGTCGCCTTCACATCGCCTGTGCTTGACTCGCCCATGTCTGTCACTCGCTGATGAAGGAGGGTGGAAGCTGTTGTGCTTCCTGCAAGACTAGCAAAACGCCACTCGGCGTCTCGAGGAAGCGAACGGTTGAGTCGAATTTCCCTATACAGCCGCCATAACCAGCAGAAACCCGTCCATCCGCTATTATGTAAAGTCTCACGACAGCGCCTGTCCCGCTCCTGTTGAGAATACAAGCCTAATGCCGTCCCCCGCAACCCTGGACGTAATAGCCACTTTCCTCCCAACATGTAGGGACTGTGCGAGCCCGAGCATTGCGTGCCCATCGGATGTCGTCGTGGTTGCACAGGCCCAAGGGGATCACATCAATCAGCTTTCAAGAGACCTCGGGTTCAAGGAGCGAGCATCGAGGCGCACTCCAGGCCAGCGAGATTACTACACAGAGGATCGCCAGTACCACCATCGCTTGCCCCCTGAATCCATGGACAGAGCCTACCATGGAGTGCCGCTGCCGAAAAAGCAAGACACCCGGGCAATAGATCTGTAACCCCATTGAGGGGCTCCTAAACCTGGAACCCGCCCGAGGTAAATCCCTACCTCTACCATCTCTTGAGCGGGGAGAGGTCCCCTGCTATTATTGCTTCACTTTTTACTCTTGGGGAAACCTCGTGATTTGTACCATGGTAGGTACACACATATAGAGTGTGAAGTCATTCGTTTCTGTACTGCTCACACTGGCAGGTTGCCAACCAGTATCAGACTAGACCGCCATCAAGCGTGTCTCTCAAGCAGGGCTATCCATGACATCCTACCGTCGTCCTCTCAGCTTCATTACAATCACAGGTAAACTATGCACCTATTACGTACGTATTGGTCCAACGGACAAGGGGGGGTAGTGCGGGCTTGAAGATCATTCATGCTGAAAGCCGGGCTGTACATGCCTGCCAGTTCATTCTGCTTGCTGTTTCTCCTCCATGACAAGCTAGGCGGAATGAATGATTTCCCCAAGAGGGCAGGGATAGGTCAACCAGGGGGCCGCGGTTCACAAGCCAATTGTGCTTCCAAGGCGAGCCGGATGTCAAACTCTGTCCGCATATCGGAGGCCATTATCTATCTGCCCAACTTACTTGCCGGACTTCTCATCCCTGGAGCGAATAGCCAACATCACCACTCGCGCTGCCCATTTTTACTAATCTCTCCCTCATGGCCTCAGCCCGCTCTCTGTCGCGACCCTCTAGCCTGCTAAAATTACATCCCGCAACCCAATCCCCAACCCCATGCTGCAGCACATTCCTCGCCCGGAGAGCGCTCCCGCCCACATGCCCAACCGAACCATGCAGAGTCATGCGCTCCTTGCTTGAGTCGTACACGCCGCGGTGCAGGATATTGTTGTTGTAGAAGACAATGTCCCCTGGTCCCAGCTTGACGACGAGCTGGTCCGGCAGCACCTTCTCAAAGGGCCCGGCCGCGCGCTCTGCGTCGGTGCGCGCGCGCCTGTGCGAGCCCGGGACGACGACGAGCGAGTCGTCGTCGAAGAGGGCGAAGTTGTACTGGGCGTGGAAGGCGGGCTTGGCGAGCCGCTCCATCTCCTCTTGAGCCGACGCCTCGGCGGGGATGTCGTCGCGGTGCCACCTGAGCTCGAAGTCGGACTCGGGGCGGACGAGCATGTTGAAGAGCTCCATGATGAGATCGTCGTCGGAACACTGCAGCAGCTCGCGGACGATGGACAGGACCTCCTCAGAGAAGTACTGCTCCGCAAAGAGGTCGTGGCCAGCCAGGTCCGGATTCATGAGGTGCTGGACGCCCCAGATACCCTTTTCCGCGGCATCGGCGGCGCTCCAGGGAGGGAACTGCTTGCCGACGGTGCGGACGTGGGGCCAGCCACCCGAGCGGGCAAGCGAAGTTGCCTTGGTGCTTGCGTCCCGGAGGCGCTCGAGCTTGGCTGGGCTGGCGATGGCCTTGACCACCACGAAGCCGTCCCTCTCCAGCTGGGAAAGATGCGGTGTGGACGACATGCGTGCTGTGGTGGGGTGCCCAGGTGCGTCTGACGTAGGTAGGTGTGCTGAGAGTCTAGACCGGCCAGGCGGGTAATGGTATCCTCGTCCTTGGGCCCGGAAAGTGAAGCAACTGTGATGTGTTTTCTTCCGTATACGCAGCGTGTGTGTGTGTGTGAGTGTGTGCCCAACAAGACCCTGGCTGGAGAAGGCGTGATGTCTATATAGGCAGAAAACCTACTCGGCCTGCTCCGAACGATAGAGTTTGGGGCACCGGCGGAATGTAGATGTGTATATAGTAAGTTGGACGAAGCCGGTTGAGCAATTGGTGAGGGGTCAGTTCAGTCAGCAGAGTCGGACGCCCCAACTGCCGGATCACCACCACACAACTGTGCCTGCAACGAATCAGAAATCGGCCACACACGCTACTAATATCAAATATGGGCCGTTGAGGAATTCGACATGGGCTTTCTTCTCCCATAACAACGTTACAAACTCGTCTGCTCCTGCGTCTGCTCCTCGGCCCTCGCCCCCGCCCTCCCTCACGAGCAAAAAAGCAATTATGGTTGTTGCATCCGTACCACCCACCACCCGCCTCTCCGCTTACCAACCCGGGAGATAATACGGCGTCTGTAACCCCCAGGTCAATGCATCGTGTCTTACTCGTCAATGCCTACGTCTGCCCAATAATTGCTGAGATGCCCTCCCACCGCCTAATTGCAGCGAGGAAAGCGATACATAGATGACGTCGGTACTGCAGCTGCAGTCCTCACCTGAATTTGCTTGACTATGGCCGCCTCCGGCCGGGAGACGGCATGTTGGCTTTCAACCCCCAGTCTCTCAATCCCCAATTCTCCAAGGCAACGTTACATATTGCCGTGCTCTCTGTTGGCTGCTCCTCCATTCAATACTACTTCTAGAATCGTGCTGATGCTGGACTGTCTTGGAGCAGAGCGAAATTGGCAAGTATCGTAAAGGTTCACTTTCATTGGTACTCTAGGTAACGATCCTTCGCATAGAGAGAATTCATCATTCATTCATCATTGGATCATCCAAGTTATTTGCTTTTATAAACAAAAATTGTCGTGACAAGTTGTACAAGCTTCCCGGTCCCCCCTCTCTGATTTCCCGGTCCTCGGTTACACAACCCTTCCGGAAGGAACTCGTTTCCTCTCGCTTCTGTGTATCTCGGCATTCCTCTTGGTCATCCTGCCAATCTTCCGCTGCTGCTTCCTGGCGGCTCTGTCCTCCTCGGCCTTGAGGTCCAGGAGCCGCTGGCCGCGATCCGCAATCGCCTGGTTGTGAGTCGCCCTGTTCTCCGTCACCTGCGTCTCCCGCTTGGTCTTCCTCTCCTCCTTGGCCTTGACCACCGCCTCGTTCTGGGAGTGGGTGAGCTTGTTGATCTTCCTCTGCTGCCCGTCGAGCGCCTTCTTCCGCCTGACCTGGTCCATCCTGTCCCGCTTGCTGAGGGGGAACCCGTAGAACCGCACCGTGGTCGTCTCCCCCGTCGGCAGGGTGACGCGGCGCCTGCTGGAGTACTCGTCGATGCCCGCCGCGAGCCGGAAGGTGTCCTTGTAGCTCTCGGGCCTCTCCTTGCTCGCCCCCAGGAAGCTGGTCTTGATGGCGGTGCCGACGTACACGCGGAAGTTCCACTTGAGGCTCCTCGCGAGCTCCTGCACCGCCTTGGGGCTCCAGTCCTGGTCCCTGAGGGAGAAGGCCCGGGAGCACCGCGCGTAGATGACGTCCGGGAAGTAGTGGTCCCACCACGGCGAGGGGTACTCGCTCCACATGTCGTAGGATGTGAAGGTGAGGAGGAAGTTGAACCTCACGGTCTTGAGCGAGGGCGCCTTAGCGGGGAGCTTGGCCATCCGCTGCGCGAACCACTTGGTTGCTGAGATGTAGGCCCCCGGCATGTCGAGGCTCTCGAGGCCCTTGCATCTCTCGATGGTGTCCCAGAAGACGTGCCGTTGCTTGCCTTTAGATAGTGTGTAGTCCACGTGGCCCGTGTATCCGCTCTGGTCTGGGTTCATGATGCTGATGGCCCGGATCATCTCCACATAGGCAGGTCGGAGGAGGCGCCCGACCGTTGCGATGAGCTCGATGGCATCGAGGAAGCAGAATGTGTTCTTGGACCAGAAGATCGGGGCCGCGAGCTCGTTGACGCCCTTGGAGGCGAGGAGGAGCCCGAGCCCGGTGCGCTTGGCGCAGGAGCAGGAGCACTCGGTCTTCAGCCTCATGTCAGCGCAGACGGTCACCTTTGACTGGAGGAACGGTGGGTTCTCGTAGATGTCGTCGCCGAACTTGGGCTTGTATTTGCAAGTTGGCTTGTGCGTCTTCTCCCATCTCGGGCGTTCTACGAGAGCGAATTCATAGATCCGTAGAACAATCTCAAGAGGGAGATGGTCGAGATTCAGCTTCTTCGGGCGAGGGCCAGCCGCATGGTTGGGCTGGATGGTGAGCGTTGGGGTTGTTTGAGCCATGGCTGCGTATCTTTTTGTCCAAAGATGCACGGCACGAAGAAATTAGGGAAATAGTATGGAAGAAAAGCAACGCTCTTTTTCTTCTGAACTCTTTTCAACCCTTCTAGTTCTCTCCTTTCGTACTCCGGATGCCGGCTCTTAAATCAATTCACGGTGCTGGTCAGAGTGGCTGACGATAGTTAATAAGGCGGGGCGCACCGGCGAAAAAGGCAACAAGCCTCGAGCTTGGCCGTTGACTCACAAGGCAGAAGCGTGGCTCAGGCACATGCACTCACCCAACAAGCGGCCGCAGCGGGCCAACAGGGAGCTGGCTCCAGCGCATTCAGGCGGTTGACGCAGCTGGTTGGCCCCCCGTCACGCCGGACAGCTGCCCAAATTGATGGCGGGCAGATTGCAGGGCTTTTCGCCGGTCACTATGTATGATTCGAATCACAGGCATTTGATTTGATTGCAGAACGGACTGGGACCAACAGCCACAGTGGACCTCTCAACTTGTTGCATTCTAGATGATAGGTGTTTAGCACGCTGCCGCAGGCCATCTGACGGCGAAGCCCTTGACCGTCTTCTGCACGTCCAGGTCGCCGGGGTCGTTCTTGAACAGCGGCTTCTGCAGATGGATCTCCTCTACCTGCTCCACCTCCAGCCCAGCGTCCCGGGCCACGTCGAAGAAGGCCATGTCCAGGTCCTTCTTCCACGGCCGGTATGACGTGAAGAAGACGTAGGCCACGCTCTCGGGGGACCTGCGCATCGTCTCCTTGATCGTCTTGACGAGCGCCCCGTGCTCGCTGTGCCGGAAGAGCAGGTCGGCGAGGACGAGGACGTCGAACCTGGCCTGCCCGTCGCCGGACAGCCTCTCCAGCAGCGGCTCGGGCTCCCTGCCCCAGACGAAGCCCATTGCGTCGATCGTCCCTGCCAGCTGGCCCTTGACCTCCATCGTCTCGTCGCACTCGTCAATGTTCTTCTGCATCGTGGCAACGATGTCGGGGTCTGGGAAGTCGGTCATGACGGCCTTCTTCGCCCCCAGGATCGCCGCGACGAGGGATGGCAGGCCCGAGGCCGCCCCGAGCTCCAGCATCGTCTTGCCCTTGATCCTCGAGGGGTCCTTCTCGAAGTAGTCCGATATGATCTTCGCCCCGTTCCACAGTGTGTGTGCCTCCGTGGGGCTGTGGCCGACCAGGTGCAGCGTGATGGACTTGCCGCTCTTCATTGTGAAGATCTCCTGGGTGGGCGGGGGAGTTGGGGGATAGTAGTCCTCGGGGTCATCCATGAACCCCGCCTCGCCGAGGTCGATGGGCAGATCCTCCGCGGCCATCTTGCGCTGTGTCTATCTCTCTTCTATTCCACTGCTATGAGAATACGGGGTGAGTGAAGGATGTAAGTTGAGCGTGTAACCGAGAACAGCACCCTGATGCTGAAGTCTGGGCGTGAGAGTGAAAGATGTCTTCCAGAAGCACGACGAGGTAATTGAGGTTTGGAAAATGCTGTCTCAAGACAAGGATGATTTCAATTGGCGCAGCACAATCTTCCCGTCCCTGCTTGAGTGAGAGAGTATATATGGTTGGAGAGATGTTTTTGAACGAATACCAAAAAGCTTAGCATTTTGAAAACCCTGATAACCTATTAGAGGAGAGCCCCACCATAAACCCCATCCTGATACTCAACATGATTGCAGCTTTTGACAATTACCCCTTGGGTTGGATGGTGTGAAAGTAAGAACAAATAATACAAGCAATCGCTGGAGGTGAAATGTCGCCCGTTCAACCAAATCGCTGTTTCGCCAATTCCTTGAGCATGCTCATCGTTCCATCCTCCCGCTCCCTCCACGCCCGCCTCCTCTCCTCCACCTCTTCCTGCTTCGCTCTCTCGAACTCCTCCCTCCTGATCTCCCGCTCCGATTTCTTCCTCTGCTCCTGTTGCTTCATCTTCTTGTACTCTGCCAGCGAGTCCCCGCCGCCCATCAGGTCCTTCTCATCCCCGCCCTCCATGCCGGGGCTCTTATCCCGGAACTCACGCATCTTGTCGTTCACCAGTTGTCGTTTCTCCAGCTTCCGTTCCCGTGAGCCCGGATCCGCCCGTGGCAGTATCTCCTCCAGCCTCTCCTTCTGCAGACTCCTATCAGCCTTCCGGGCTTCTCGGAGCGCATTCCTCGAGTCCTCTCTATCCTCCTCCCTCATCTCCTCACGCATGGCGAGATCCTGCATGGACGGTATGACGGGACCTATCCGTGCCCCGTAGCGGTTCCCCCGCGGCAGCGTCGGGCCGTAGTCATCGCCCTCGCTACCAGAATGATGGCCAGCGTCCCCCGTCCTCTCCATCTCATCCGAAGAGAGAGGACTCCGGCCGCCTGGGACGTCTTGTTCCTGATACAGGCCCCCCTCCTCCCTGTACCTCTCCGAGATGCGAGCAAACATGTCCGGGTCGTACCATCCCTCCGCCAGCTCCCCCCGGTTCCACTTGCCCATGAAGCTCTTCCACCTCCCCCTGACCTCCCGCTCATCCAGATCCCCCACCTCGATCTGCTTCTGGAGGCTCAGGAAGTCGGCGAACAGCGGCATGAACGCAGCCATGTCCGCCTTGGTCAGCTGCCGCGCCGAGAACGGCAGCGTGACGGGGCCGACCGCCGCGGCGGCCCGCTGGGATCGGTCTCTGCGCTCGCCCCGGCGCGGCGAGCGGTGCCTCCTCGACGATGAGGAGTGCCCGCCGTGGTGGCGGTGACGCCGCTGGCCATCATCGCCCGCCTCGTCGGCTCTGGGTGGGCTTCTTCGCCCGTGGCTAGGAGGAGACCGCGACCGCCGTTGGCCGTGGCTGTGACGCGACCCTCGAGGCTCATCCTCGCGAGATTGGCGCGGCATTCTCGCTAGCAGAACGGCTTTCTCAATCAAAGTTCTGATTTACAGTGTGAAAAAAGAGTTTTCAAACGATATTCACATGCCGAAGAAAGCAATGCAAATCGACCAATGTCGCCAAGACAAGGCAAAATCAGGACCTAAGGAGAGGGCCCCACACGCTACAGTTCTTCGATACGGGGTATTAGCACAACGCCTGTGTTACCAGCACCCACTAAGCCAATTCCATCTCGCCGGCCAAAGCCACCAGGCAGCATATAAGGCATACTACAACCAGTCAACATCAGCGAAGTAGCTGCAATCAAACCACCACTTTACGCAGATGACTTAAATCCTTCCGGGATCTTCGCTTTCTTCTTTTTGTTTTTGGTGTTGCTCCTCCATTCGATTCCGTACAAGGTCGTGTGGCTCTATGGCCTTTCCCCCTTTTTTTCGGCTCTCACCTGCACCACCCTATATAGAGGGCAGAGCATTGGTTGTGATAAAACAAACCAAATAAGACCCAATATCATATTGTTGTTGTCTCGCTCTACCTTAGGTTTAGATTCACTACATCATCGTCAGATTTCATGAAGCTTGAGAATCTTGCCACCCCATCTCAACTAGTCGATCTCTACCTCACACCTCACCTTCCAGCCTTCAGAATTTATGAGCCAGATACTTCAACAATTGCAGTAATGATATAGTTCAGAAGGGGAGTTACTCGTATGATTTAGGTCTCATCTACTAACGCCACACAAGTCCCTCATCTCTAGATGGCAAGGACTCAGTGTAGGTTATCCTAATATGTATTCGTAAATCTTGAACCACCCGGGGTATCATTGTGGGCATCATGCCTAGTCATAACCAAGCCGCGACCCAACCTCTATAACATATCCAAAACCCCGTATACATATATGCCTATAAAATATGTATGACCCTTAATGGGTAACAGAATGCGCCATTGACCAATCCAGTTGTTTTCCCGCTCTCTTGGTAAATCCGAACCGCATCTAAATGTATCCCTCGAATGACAGCCAACTCATTCATGCTTCCTGATCAACGGACTGCGATGGGTCCGGATTATTGTGTATCACACACCCAATGCACTGGCAGTCATCTCCACAGGGACAGCTCGCACTCTCTCCTGCACAAGAGTCACCAAACGGATAGGTGACAAAGAAGAAGTCGCTCGCCGATAACGTCTGCTCTTCACTGAGGCCAGATGGAGCATCAGAAGGAGTCTGCGGTGCTGTGATGTTCCCGTCTGGTGGCAGTTGGTTCGTGGAGGTTCCTGACGGCGTGTGGGTAGCAGATGAACCTTGCTCGCTAGAATGCCCATTCGTCAGGTCGCCATTTCCGACCGGCGCGTCTTGCTGATCCACCATTGTATTGTAAGCAGAGCGGATATAGTCTTGAGTGGCTTCATTGTATGGATGCGTAGCACAGCCCACACATTGACACTCTTGTCCGCATGAACAGTGATGTGACGTTCCCCCCGCTTTGGCCTCAAAGACTTGGCCATGCGTAGGAGGGGCTGTTGGAGTTGCTACCGGCCCATTCCCCATACCAGCATTCATCATCTCGAAAGCATGCTGCTGCGCGATTTGACCATAGTTGAAGGCGGCCATCATCTGTTTCCATTGATCTGGCTGCAATGGTTGCATAAAGGTTCCGTACTGCGGGGGGTATGTGAAGATTCCTGGGTGTGCGAAGTAAGGATACATGTTGGGAGGCGTAGCCATCGGGGTCGGGAACTGAGGCATCATCATCGGTCCAGCGTGTGCCTGTATATTAGACGTCGTTGTTGTTGGCGCCTCTGGTTCAAAATTCTCCGCCTTTGAAGAGCAACAGCTCTTCGTTTTGACCCCCGAGTTACTTTGTCCATCGGATGCATTGCTAACAGAGTTGTGTCGTGATATGTGCTGGGAATCTAGCAACTCTGGGTCGATCTCATCTCGTTTCGCATCCACCCCACCTCCACAGCAGCCTCCAGATCCCGCAGCACCATTAGTAGTAGCAGGCGGTATACCTCCATTGCGCGCGGGTGGGAAGAACATCTGATTTGGAACAGGTTGCTGGAACATGGGAAACATGTACGGTTGGGGGTTGAGCTGATGGTCTATTGACGGCATGCCTGCAGGACCATACTGGCTCGGTGCAGACATTGGAGACGCCGTCTCTGTTGGGGAGATGGCTCCGGCTCCAGCTCCGTTCAGGCCATTCGGGGCGGGGATTACGTTCAGTTGGCTTTTGTCTGTCCTTTCCACGCTGGTCGGGTCAATGGACTGCTTCCGTGCCGATCCTCTTCTGGTTTTCTGCACCCGAAAACTCGCACTCGGGGGTTTACTTCCGGTTGGCGATGGTGACTTGGTGCCAGAGTCTTCAGTAGTAGAGTCTCCATTCGTTGCACCTGCGGTCTCCGTCGCAGGAGTCGAAGGGCCGCAGTTGCATTTCTGCTTCCTGGGAATGGCAGCAGTCACTTGCCCGCATGAGCAGGGTTTTGAAGGGGGGTGAGGACAAGTGCTGAGAGGCCGACCAGGTTTTCGCACGGGGACCATCAGGCGCTCATTGGCGTGTGTACATTTGGTTGAGCGATGGCCGCGAATACAAGGCTCGCTGTGGAAATTGAAAAGAATAAGAATCAATTTGAAGAAGGGGAATGGCGCAGGCTTCAGATGAGGCTACGTCTTTGCCCGGAAACGGGGTGCGAGAAACGAAATCGGGGAGTAAGAGTGGGAGGTTTATTCACATACCAGGCCATCTTTTGCCCATTGATGAGAGGCATGGTGAGATGGGAGTTGAGCTGCTCCAGAAACGAGGAGCAGAATGAGAGCCAAAGGCCTAGCCGTAGCGATCCAAAGGGCAGTCAGGGTCGAGGATACAGGATCGGTTTCGGTCCAGGCGAAGCATCAGGACACAAGGAAGAAGAAGGCGGTTGGCAGTCAAGGTTTTCCTCGGAGACACAGGGCAAGTCGCTGGCAGCCTGCTGCGATGACGAGCGTTGTCGCAAAAAAGTAGGTGTTTTGGCTATGATCAAAAGAGGACGGCAATTGTGCGGCGCATTTCGGCAAACTGGATGACCGAGCCAGGGAAGGTAGGATAAGCCGATGGCAAATTCCCAACCTTTACCTCCAGAATAGATCACCCGTCGAGGAGGATGGTGGTTAGGTGAAGTTTGAGCTGAGGCAGACGGAACGTGAACTGGAAGTGGGAGCCAGCCAAGGTGGGAAGATTACAGGGCGATAAAATCCCCCATTGCTCACATTTCACATTGCGCCGCCGAAGACACCCTGCCGCTGAACCGCAGGACACGGCCCTGGACGCCCCATCAATAAGTACCATCCATGAAGAATGCACTGCACCTACCTTGCCTGATCTTTCTAAAAGCGCCGCTAGACGCAGTACAGGACATCGCCCCACTTGCGGGGGCTCTTTTCTCGTCGCCCGGCCCTTCAACCAGCGTCCAAGTGATGCGCCGGACTGGCTGCAAAAGCTTGTCGTGATATGTCATAATCCCACGGGGCGCTAGAAAGAAAAGACGCAGCTGTTCTATTCTATTTCTGTGTTGTTTCTGCCCTTCTCTTCTCTTCTTCCCAGCGCTGTGATCCCCAGGCAAGAACCACAAAAGCCGGGTCCGGCTTTGTTGGTCAACTGGGTACTAATAGAGCCCGTCAATGTACCTCTGATACTAACCCGTCTCAGAGGAGGAACCTGCACCACCACCTACCTCTTTGTATCCTCTCTCTCTCTTGGCCCTGCATCTGCAATGGCGGCTGGTGCAAGCAATGGGGGAAACGGTAATAATAATGGATTCGCTTCAACTGAAGACCAGCTCAGGGTCCTCAGTATCCCGGTCAGCCCGTCCTGAGGTACCTCGTGGTGGTGGGATCGATTCCCACTCTGGACAAGGTATGTGAGCAAGTTTCTATTGGTCGCTCTCGAGGTTCGGCTGCCAGGCGGACGCTCGAGTCTCAACGTTTCCCCTCCGCCATGCCCGCTAACAAACAACATAGCGCACGCCGATAAAGCAGAGTGTCCCAATGAGGATCATGGTCAATGTCCACTTTCTGCAAACCGCACCATGCGAACCCTGTGGGCTTTCTGCCTGGAGCCTGAGAGTTGCCGTGTGATCTCTGGGTCTCTGCCGCTCGCTGACCACTGCCCTCATAATCAAGACCACATTTCCAAAGGACGGCACTTGATTGAGCCTAGAGCAAACGGCGGTGGGCCGAGTCACTTGCTGCTTATTGCCATCACACCGTGGACGACGTGAGCGATCCGCAGAGGGAATGGCTACGCTTATCGATCACACAATATTAGCATGGAAACTAGCCTGTCAGTCCATAGATTAAGCTGTGCCGTGCTCTTGACCGTTGTATGTTCTAAACGTAAAAGCCTGCTATCCTAGCCCGGAACCTCAGTCGGAAAATGGAGGGCCTCAGTTCCGTTTGTGCCCTCGTTCGATATATCATTAACCCTGCTCCACTCTTCATAAGGAATTCTTCCTGAACTTCCAGAAGTGAGCCAGCTTCGCCAACCACGGGAAATGTCTCAAGAAAGGCTCTCATGAACCCCCGTCAGAGCCGTCGGAGTCAGCAAACATATCGACCGCACGCATTCTAGGCTTACGGCCAACGCCTTTGGCGCGGGAGAGATCTGCGTGACTGGCGCGGCTGGGTTCACCCTTGGACTCTGCCAGAACCATGTCCGCGGGCCCCTTGTCTCCCGCCATGGCAGAATGTGACGAAGCATGACTTGTTCGAACTGTGTCCTCCCCCATTGGCTCCAGATCCTCTCCGCCGCCAAGCGCCTCGCCCTCTATATCGTCCTCATCGATTGGCACACCCTCAAGATCATCATCGTCTATTGGCTGGCCCTCGAGGTCATCCTCATCGATCGGCTCACCCTCGATGTTCTCATCCTCAACCGGCTCACCACCTACGTCACCCTCCTCCACAGGCTCGCCAGGCTTACCGTGAGAGACCAGATCCGTCTGTCCCTGTGCCGCCGCCACCGAAGGACTTTTCGAGCCTGTCTCCTGTGCTTGATTTTGCTCCACCACTTTCCACTTATTCTTCTTCTGCCCTTCATCCGGTTTTTCATCGGCCTTGGCTGAGGGAGGGTTTTCGAAGCTTTGTACAAAGAGATCTTGGCTCTCTGCAGCAAAAACGCACCAGCCCTCCCACAAGCTCAGGACCAGATTGACGCTCCGTTTCCACTTCTCTGCTCGTAGGCGGCCCCAGTTGAACTTTTCAGCCATCATACCCAGGCGCTCAAAGACTTTGCGATTCCGTAGCGCCACCTCAAAGAGTTGCCGGAATCGCCATGCGTGGCGTACACCGCTCGAAGACGACGAAGAGAGGATGTCGCCGACGGCATAGAGCCCAACTAAACTTGCCGCGGATGGATCCTGCCCGTCAGCTGCGTTGTTCTCATCTGCAGCAGTCCCTTGCGCACTGCCTTCCTTTTTGTCTTGACTTCTATCCCTGTTGGCCATTGACATGGAGAGGGGCTTTTCGATGTTTGATATCATCATGTCGACCACTTCATCAACACCACGACTAGCGTGGGCGATTGCAAAACTCGTAACTCTGGCTATATCCCCCTTTCGTAGTTTCGACATTGTCGGAGGAAGCCTGGCCAACAGGTGGGTGAGCTTAGCCTTCTCCAGCGGGTTGAGAAAGCTCTTCTCTTTCTCATCTCCCTGATTATCGCGGTTGCCTTCACCGTCGAAATCTTCGTCGTCTGATGAATTGTATTCCGAATCCGAAACAAACTCGTCGATCTTCGTAGTGTATTCAAAAGGGAGGCGCTCCTCGGGGACCTTCCAGGCATTGCCACCATCGAACAGAGGCACATACTTTGGCCTCTTTTGCTGGTGTCCAGAGCCAGTAACAATCTCCCACAGTCGCCATCTATACCACACGCCTCCTGGACATCTGGCATTCCATATCCACGCCCATTTTTCCTCGCGTTGCACCTCTGGCCGTGACATGAGGAGCGCCTCGATTTCAGGGCCATGGTCGAGAACTTGCTCAATAGTCTTGTTGATTAGTCGAAGAATCCTGATGTCATCCGGGGGTTTGACCGGGACATGGAGGAGTTTGCCTCTGCTGACATTGCTAATCTGATGATCGTAGCTCGATGGCGGCGCAAAGCCTCGTTGGAATCCGGAGTCTCTTTGTGTGCTGTGCGAGTCGGAAGGCTGTTCAACTGGCTTTGCCCCGAATGGATGTGATTCAGACCCCGAGCCAGGAAGGTTCGTAAGAGTCGACGCGCTGGTGACGGCGGATGAAAGGTGTCGATGCAACGATAAGTACTGCCCCCAGCCCAGATATTCATTCTGTAGAGAGCTGACGGCTGCGTCGATATCGTTGGCTGGCGTCTCCTTTGAGAGTGTCACAATAGCGGTCTTGACTCTCGTGTCATAGTTCCCAGCCCCTGCAAGATTCTGGAAATTCACGTCCTCTACAACCAGGTTGGATGGAAGTTTGGACCTGATGGCAGCCTGCGAGTATAAGGAGGGCAAGTTGAGTAAGCGCAGCGTAGGCCTAGCGATGGCTTTCTCTTCTGCCTTGTCGGTCGCGCCGCCCATCTCCTCATCTTCATCGTCGCTCGTGCGGAACGCCTTCGGCACTGACAAGGACGATCGATCAAAGTCATCATGCCTATCTCTTGGCCCTCGCGACATATCCTGATAAGATCGCTTCTTCGTAAACGAATTCGGTGCCGGCCCGAGGCTCCCCGGGCCACTCTTCACATTGGGCGCGCCAAAGTGCCGCTTCGAGGTTCCTGGGGCAGGCCCGCCAAGTCCCGACCTGGGACCTGGGAAGCCCTGTGAGCCAAACGGCGCCAATCTCCTCCCATTGTCCTCGATTCTATCGCCGCTTTCCTCTCGATCAAAGCTCTTAATGAAATCTTGGTATACAGCCGCGGTCTCGGCTTCCTCGCGCAGGCGCTTCGCCTCGGCTTCTGCCTTTTGCTTCTCAAAGGCCGACTGCTTCGTTGGCTTCTGGAGCTTCGCCTTGACGTTTGGGAACTCGTGCGGGGCCTGGTCGGGCGGCATTTTGTCTTTGTGTTCGGTCAGCTTCGTGTCATTTTGCGAGGGCGTCTTGGTGTCGTCAATGAGGCGTGATGGACGCTTACAGGCAGCTTTCGCTTCTTTGGAGGTTGGTGACACTGCAGATGAGCCCCACTTTCCGAATGTTTTGCCTAAGTGCATAAACACCTTGACAGCAATTGCCTGCCACAGGTCCGCAAAGGGACATCAGAAGTGGTCAGTTTATTCGGATATTAGGAAGAAACTCGTATGTATTTTTCTAAGGGAACATATGTACTTGACTCCACCTTTTCCTTCTTCATAACATTTTCATGACAAAGGGCGCGCCTGAATTTATAGCTGCGATCGAGCCTTACCATCACGAAGCTTCTTTATCTCATCATCCAAGATCATGTCGGGCAGTCCTCCTCTACTACCGTCCCAGGTGTTCAACCCCCGATAGACTCCGTTTATTTCTTTCCCGAGACCGTCGTCCTCAATGTGCTTCCACTTCCACTTGTCCCCAAGCTTGCCGCCGCTACCCTGAAGGCAGTCCACCAACTTGTCGCCAATGACAGGCAAGAACTTGAACCCGTGTCCGCTGTCTCCGGTAGCGATGAACAGTCCCTCCCATCCAGGATGCCAGTCCACGAGCCAGTCTGCGTCTCTGGTGTCCGAGTACCAGCAGAGCCGCGTCTTCACCCATGGCCGCTGGTCTACGTCTTTTAAGGGAACCAGGTCCCGGAGGCCTTCTCGGAGGTCTCGGTCGCCCTCGGCAGGCAGACCATCGAACCCGTTGTCACGAATCGTCCTGGGAACCGATACAACAATGGGCTGTCGCTTGTGCTTGTGCGACAGTGGCAGTGCAGCCGGCACAGTCTGTGGGTTGAGGTAGCCAAACCCGTGTCGCGCTACCTTGAGCAGCCTCTCCCGGGGAGGGAGGACAAAGAGTCCTGTGGAAAGGTTGAGGATCGTGGGCTGATGCTCCATACGCTTCTGCTCCGCCTCGGTAATCTCAACGTACGCGACAGCCTGCCCCGTCGCCTCGCACCGCCCTCTCAGGTCAATCAGCGCGCCCGTCCAGGCACCCGCCGCGACAAATACCACGTCTCCCTTAAGAACCCCGCCATCCCTCAGCCTGGCGCCCACCACCCTTGTACCCTCGGTGACCAACTCCTCCACCAACGCGTCTACAAACTCGACCCTCCCTGTTTCCTTGACACGCTCGTAGAGCCACTTCATCGACGTTCCGTTATTCGACCAGCCGGACAATGTGTTCGAGTACCCCCAGTCACCCACATTTCCTGAGGCGCCGAGATATTCTTGGATGGCCTTGCGGCTCTCCAACGTGACGATTTTCTCTGTGGGAAGACCGGTGTCCAGGGCAATCTGGGTGACGTTCTCCCAGCTTGCTTTCACATAGTCGAGGCCCGTCTTGTGCCCGGACTTGGATGTGTACGATTGGTTGGCGGTCAGCACAAGACCGTTCTCAGCATACCGGCCCTGCCCTCCGACCTCGTGGTCCTTCTGCTTCCGCCACTCAGTCTGCGCCTCCGCCGCCAGGGTCGCATAGTCTCTATCCGCATAGTCGGCCCTCACAATGCGCGAAGCATCTACGCTGGCGCAGTCCTCCGGGGGGAATTGGCCCCGGGCGTCGTCAACAACCGTGATGGCGGTGTTGCGGAAGAATGGCCGCTCGGCGAGGGCCCAGGCGGTGCTGAGCCCGAAAAGGCCAGAACCGACAATGAGGATTGAGCCTGGGGCGGTCTCCATTCTGTCGCCTTGGGGTTTTGGGGGGAGGAATTGGGTTTGTCGACACTGTCACGGAAAGGCACAGGAAGAAAAATCCACGTTCACACCCGGTGCGCATAACCAACCGGCTACCCTCCATTTGGCATCGTTCGATCTAGAGCGTTCTCGGAGCCCAGACGGGGCCATATAAAACACACATTTATCAGAAATCTGGGCCGTATTTGCGGTTATTCCTAGATAAAGCAAAAGACTAGCACCCACCCGCATACTCCACACCGATAATCGGACGACACGCTTGGGAAAACTGGGGATACTGAATCTTAACCAGATTCTCGGCACCGCATCACACGACACCGCTAGATTTTATCAACCACCTTCACACAACACACCGACAATACGACCGACGACACGACCGACAAAACACAGTTCACGAGAGATTCAGAGCCACGGAAGATGAGATGAGATAATTATATTACGCTGTGAAGGAGAGAACTCCGCGATGAAGTGTTGAATTGGTGGCCTGTGCAACAGTGCCTTGGAATAACCTGCGCGGCAAACCTCCCAGGCAAGCTCTCATCAAATTTTGCTGGACCTGGAAGGGTCTTCACACCGTTTTGTTGTCTCTTCCCCCGAACCAGGGCGCACCCACCAACTGTCAAGCCGTCCCAGCCCATCCCATCACTCAGTGTCTTTTTAACTCCTTGAAAAGCATTAGGCTAAGCGGACCGAACAAGGTATTCCTACCGAGCCCAGATCCGCCAAAAGCAATCTATGTCATGTTTGTTGTGAGAATGTCAACTCTCTTTATCTTGTGGCCAGAACCAAGTGCGTCTGAAAGCAACTCCCCATTCCGTGCCCTCGCAAACGCCGGTGCAATGCAATAAAAATAATCAAATGATACAAACGTGCCCCCGGATCAGCTGCTTGTGCGAGCAGTGATCATTAGGAACACGCCGTAGGACGAAAGTCAGTCGTAATATCGTGATGCAGCCTACTCATACAGATCGCAGTGAATGAGGCTGGAGATTAGAGCTGCCAAGAGAGGTGGCAGCAAATCTGACCAGAACTCAACTTCTAGACCTTGCGGAAATCTGTGCCATGTTAGAACAATTGCGCTTCCACGAAAAAGGGGCCAAGGGGTCGACAAACCTTGAAGCACAGGGTAAATCATTTCGAAAGCCTGATAGATCTCTTCTCTGACTTTTGCACCTGTGAGTACGATCTTGCCGCTGACGAAGATCAGAAGCACAATCTTGGGCTTGATCATGCGATAGATAAGACCAGGGAACAGTTCCGGTTCATAGGAACTGAAGTTGTGATGGCGAGAAGCCAAGCCTTCCAAGCGGATGGGGAACTTGATATCGCAAGATCCGACAATGTTCTGAATCTTGAAATCGGTGAACTTGGCGTTGAAGCCCAGCTTCTGGATAATGCGAGCATATTTGCGTGACGCTAGCTTGGAGTCATCTTCGGACTTGGCACCAGTGACAACCATCTTGCCAGAGGCGAAGATCAAGGCCGTTGTCTTGGGTTCACGGATACGCATGATGACGGCAGCGAAACGCTATAGCAGGTCAGTGACGAAGTCAACAAGATAGATCAATTGTAGGTAGTACCTTAGGGTTGTACTCTGCATTCCTGGCATGTAGAGCGATCGTCTTCAGGTCTAGCCGACAGTCCAAATTGACGGTGGCCACGATGTTCCTTTAAATCAAAGCGACATAAGCCTCTCAGAGCAAAACACTATCACTCAGGAGGATACATACTGCAGCGTGGGAGTGATTCCACTGGGGCCTTGATTGGCTCCCGGTGTAGCAGCAGGAGTGGCGGGAGTCACCCCATTTCCATTTTGCTGACCGTTGGGGATGGGCTTCTGGGCGCCATCCACCGGGGGGGTGAGCTCGTTCGTGGCTCCGGGGAACGACAGAGACCCAGGCGCAGTGAAGGCCTTGGCCTGAGCCGCGTTGGAAGGGTGTGTCTGAATACTTTCCATGATGAATGCTTATGAAGCTATCCAGATGGTATCAAGTATGTCAGAGAGCAGTTCTAAGTAGCTGAGTTAGCAAGAGAACAAACAAAAGTCCCGACAGGATTTGTAATGTGTGCGGCGGTGATAGCAAGGATGAAATTGCAAATGAAGACGCGACGCATCAAACATCAAGGCCACTTCGCTTCAGAGATCTTGTTTTGAAGGGAGAAGCGGGCCGTGGCAACTGTCAACGGCCGTGGTATTTATAGAGCCGAGTGCGATGTTCAGAAGCAGGAAAATCAAAACAAACAGCACAAAACCACAGGAGTAAAAGAACATGTCAAACCTACCGAAATGTGGGAGATGAACAAGTAAATGTGTCCCCTACAAAGCACTGCCCTTTCACGTGGATGAAAGATGGACGTCGAATCACAGAGTGTGTGAGATGACGATATGGAAGACTGCGAGAGTGATCGATCGATTCCCAAAGGTCGCAAAGTAGACTCGCGCGCGCTCCGAGGATCAAATAATCAAATCTCGCCGACTCGATCCTTTACTTCAACTTTTTTTAGAGCTGTCTACGAACAGCGCAACGATCCGATGGTCGACGGTAACGCGAGCCTCGAGTACCTGCTCTTGCCGGTCGGGGACAAAGGAGTCGTATGCGGATAGGACAATGACTGAAGCAACGTGTTTCAGTTCTCAGTTCGCCTGATCGCTGTCTTTTTTATTTTATCTTTGGCGCCCAACAGCGAGTGCTGCAAAGCTTTCCTTTTTCTTGAACTCGTCAGAGTGGGTATGTAGAGAAAGACGTCTCCGTGAGAGATGAAGGAGAGGTGGGTTGAGGAGAAGAAATGTAGAAAGAAGTGGGGCGGGTGTGTTTTGGGGGTGTGGTAAGGAAAAAAGTGTGGCCGAACGTTCTGTGTGAGGAGGTACAGTACGTAAGGCTAGTCGCGGCATCCAGCAGAAACCTCCAGGCAGGACTAAGCTGACCGAGGGGGGAGGGCTGGGATACTTATACTCGCAGCCAGCACAGGGGCAACATGGCCCCCTAGGCAACCACTGTGCCAGTGGCGTTGGCTCTGGCAGGTTTGGGCTGGGGCTAGTGGGCAGCGCTAAAAGTTTTTGGACCAATCACAGCGCGTGCGCAAGCTGATTCCATCTCCCATTTCCCACTGCGGGTCCACCCCAGCCCCTGAAGTACCGTCCAGGTGCGCCTCAAGTCACGGCTCAACACCTTGCCCAAGCCAACCATATTTGCCTTTTTCTCGCAACCTGGCCTTTTTCACGTTCTTCCCAGGCTCCAAGCACGATGACCAGATCTCTTTATCTCGACTAGCCTGTCGCTTCCAGCTAACTCGGAATATCAAACGCGCCCGACCGGCAGCGTCACCATTTTCGGCGTCTTGAGGGTCGACAAACGACACGAGGGCTGGGCTGGGCTGGGACAGCGTCGATATGTATGAATTCGGCGATGGCTGGGCCAGCGTTCAGTCAACGCGTGCGCCCGTCCATCGTGGGCGGAGGAGCGTAAGTGAGTGAGCTTACCTGCACCTCGATTCTCAACGGAGCAAACATGCAGCTTTTCGATATGAGTCGCGCACTGTTCCCCCCTCACCTCCTCCGCTTAGGTAAATTACCTGCCAATTACCCTGTCAGATTTTGTCTCCTTTCCAACACACCCCAACCACCGTTCCCTTCTGGGCACCCTGAATGGCTGAAACACAGAGCCTGTTCAACCTCTGCACAATCATCACCCCGGCTCTTACGTACTTGGCTCCCTCTAATTTTTTTTTCCTTCTTTCACATCGGGCTGGGCTTGCCCTAGCGCCAGGATTTGCATTTTCTTCGCTTTTCTCTTCCTCCCCGTCAGTCTCGATCGTGCTCGTTCGTTGCCTTCATACACCCATCCCATTACCACACACAAACAGATGCTGCGAGTACGCTGTAACCATGTTCCAGTCACGGCAGCTTGCCATCATATGCGTCGCATGACATCGGCGCGCCTTGGGACGCATCATCAGACACAGCACCCTCCACCTTTGTTTTACTGGGCGGTGCGGTTATATTGTTGGGGGTCTTGCTCGTGTTGCCTCTGGCCCACGAGGGTCTGCCTGTGAGTCATTGAATTGCCCTCAGCCAACGAAAGTCTAGCTGTTTCCGGCCGCTTAGTGGTTGGCCCCTCTGAAATCTTCTGGCCCCAACACGAAGGCAGTGCCATGGAACCTGCCAGAAAAAACTCCCAACCAGCTCCTACATTTGATTCCTTTTGTTCTCTCGATAGCAGAGATTTTTCTGCGTCCAAATACCCCTTTTTGATGCATCGTATTATCGCTTTGTGGCAGTCCGCCCTTTGCCGAGGCCGCGTCGGTCGCGCGCTTTGCCGCGTGAGACTAAGGCAATTTCTGACGGGCGCAGGATCAGCGCGCACGCAATTACGACTTTGTGCGTGCGAACCACCGAGGTACCTGCAAATCTTATCAAAGTACCGCCTTAACAATTTCCAAGCCGGTGGAGCACACCCACACCCTCATCTAGAAGCGCCCGATAAAAAATGTGCCACGGCAATGACTGTGCTTGTGCGTCCTGCGTCACATTGATCAGCGCCTGCTACATGAATCAAGCTCGAGAACTAAAGTTCTCGCCGACTTTTCATATATCGCTCTGGCCCAGAAGCAGCGAGTCAGACGACCATCGAATCCTGATGCTTGCTTGTATTGCCACCCAACCAACCACTAATCCACATATTCGTATCACCAACCAGCAAGTGGTGCCCACTAACGCCGAGTAAGACGGATTAGTCAACCCTTGAAAACCCTGGGCCAGCAGATCTTGAAGGATACCCTTATCTCCACCATGGGAAATGATACGCCGAAGCGTTATCCTGCTACGCTTTTAAATCCTTGGCGCTTATCATCCATCGTACTATAAGGTAATAATAAGCACGTGCAGTGGTGATGCGCTCAGCAATTGTTCCAGGGATATAGGTGAATATTGGTATGGTATTGTTGATCCGTTGCCCTTGCTACTATATTGGCGATGGCCTTCATTT